GAGATATCCCTTACGTCACCACTCGCTGATAACCGCTGGTGTTTTCTTAACGCGATTACGCGCCATCATCCACCTTCCGTTGCTGCACGAGAGTACGAGAAGAAAAAACGAGAGGAATGTCTTTTTTATCCCAACATTATCATTTATCGTGTGAGGGTACTTTCCCCTATCCTCCTCCTCTTTGCAGCTGATACCAAAAAATTATCTCACCGGTTTTATGACGAAACAAAAAATGTACATCAGAAAATGTCACATCACGACCGTGTGATAAGTCGAGAGAAAGAAGAGTAAGGTAGCAGACACGCATCTAGACACTCTTGCTGTTTTTAAATTACGAATATTCAAACTTTCAACATGAAATATATGCACATGTATTGAATATATACAAATATTTGGTTGAAAAATTAAACGTACGCATTTAAAGGCCAGAACAGGAATGCCCATAGTTAAATACAGTCATTGGTATTTTTACCTTAACGAATATTCCAGCGCGATTCGTAATCCCGGCTAGACGGAATTAACGTTTCGAGGGCAGGTCGAATAAAAGCGAATATTGCATAATTATCGCGCGTTGGATCGTGCTGGATGCCGTTCGCAAATTCAAGGTGTCGATTCGCCTCGTTGGCGGAAATTCTTCGCGGCGTGTCTGATTCGCGAACGAGCGAATCGATCGGGCAACAAGGTTGACACGCGCCGTGTTGACGGCGGATCTGCCTTTCGAACGTTTTATTTATCGGCGAGAAATCTTCCGCTCGCTCGGCAGATCGTTATCGAAGCAGAGATAACGGCGGAGACGAAGATATGAGCTTTTGCGTCGGCCGCAAAGAGAGAGAGAGAGAGAGAGAGAGAGAGAGAAAATAATCGATCGTTTATATTACGTTCGGCGCGCGTATCACACGCGGTAGCGCAAAAATGCGATATCACGCGGTTTGTCTGATGTGAGCTTTTGCAACGCATTTCGGAGCCTTGATAAGGCCGAGGGCGCGATTATTTTCATGGTCGCTTCACTCTCTTCGCACTGGCATTTCTCTTTCGCACTCCTTCCTTCTCTGAATGTTTATCAATTAAAATATAATTAATGTTCTGAGAAAGTTTACCAATTGATAAACGTTCTCGGATAGAAATTAAACGTCCCGGTGCTGTCGTGGCTGTAGATAAGCATAGGTAGGCCTACTTTCGTCGAGCCTAGATCGTGCCTAGAAAGGCAACTCCTGAATGAATTTCATAAACAGGTCCTGAATAAGCACTGAGGTGGATGCCCTTAAAAAGGCCTCACAGGGCCCAGTCCAATTAGATTTATAAAACTGGCTCTAAGTTGTACGAGCGTTATATTTCTATGTAGATAGAAGACTTTCCATTTTAAATTTCTATCCAAATTAGTATCATCTCTCTTTCTCTCTCGGGTTGCCATATTTGATGTTTTCGATTTATTGGCGAATTCCTCTGACCGAGCCATTATAGGTCATCAAGTTTGTATAGACGCTATAATGGTCGGTTGCGGAATCTGTGTCCCACGTGAATCATCGGCGGTTTCTTGCGGGAAATAAGGCTGATGCACTTCGTCCGTCGCGCGTCAAGTAGCAGATGAATTACAGATCAGTCTTCGTCGCCGAAATTTTAATAACAACCTGAAAATAGAGCCATCCGTCGCGACGAGGCGTGTCATTTCTCATCCCTCCGTGCGCAATAAAATTAGAAGCCAGACGTTAACTTCGATTTACAGCCACCACGTCGAACGTCGAACGATGACAGTGTCGCGCGAAACCATTTTCCCGCGACGATTTTCCTTCCCCTCTCCCCCTTCCTTCGTCGTCTGTCGGTCGTCTCGACCGGCCGGAAGCTACTTTGCAAGGCGCCAACAAAAAGCCGACCTTATCGGTCGACCCGAGGGAAAAGAAATAATATCGAAACCGCACGTGCGAGTGCGAAAAGTTCATTCGTCGCCGTTGTCGTCATCGTCGCGATCGTCGCGCGTGACGGATTTTCCGAGACTTTTGCGTCGTGCAACTCGACGCTCTTATGCAAAACATAGGATTACTTTAAATAAATTACCGCGTGATACCGCGGCATTATTTTTATAGCTTCGCCAGCACGACGCGTCGTCGAAGTTACGTTCGTCGTACGGCCCATATTAATATTATTATCTAATCTAGAAACATATTCACACATATACACACACAATACGCATTCCTCTCGCACGGCCGACACGAAGGATCTTCTTCCTATCTGTTTCTTTGTCTCTCTCTCTCTCCCTTCTCCGAGAAAAGTTCACGTTACGATCTCATATTGTACGCTATGATGTCAGGCTGATGTCATTCATGGCGACAGCGGCGCGGTTTCAACGCGATGTGCATATCACACACATCGAGAGAAGCACACACAGAGGCGCACAAGATAACTCGTGTGTCGCCAAATTGCGCGTGACGTCACGCGACATTGCGCTTGTTGTTTCGCTTTTTTTCTTTTCGTCGGCTTTTTTCGCGTTCACTTTGTGCGCTACAAGCCGACGACGATAGACCCGCCGCGTGTCTTTCCAACGTAATCGCGATTGCCGCAATCCTCGTTAAACAAACCGTCTCGGTCGTCGTCTCTCTCTCTCTCTCCCTCTCGTCATTAATGAACTTGTAATAATTTGAGATATGATGTAATTCCGCGTTATCGGCGCTAATGTGTATAATCGGCGACAGATAGAAACAAGCGTGGCGTCGCGCCGTCGCGGGAGTTTATTTCAGCTTGCGTTCGCGATCTTTCACGTTTTTTAATATAACCGTGATTACGAAATTCACCGGGGGTTATGTAAATCGTTATCAGTCCAGACGAGATAGAACGGCGTTATTGACGAGTGAAGCAAGCAGAGGGGAAAAAACGAGAGTCGCGCCTCAAAGCGGATTTATAGGCGCTTCTTTGATCGGGCGTTATTATCAGCCAGTTTTGTTATTTCTCCTTTAGATTGATTACACCGAATTTTGTTATCTATATACATACATATATGGGATGTTTTACTTTACACCGATTAATTGATTATCATCAATTACGAGAACGAAGCGAGGTGTAGCGTTTTCGTTGTTTCGTCAGGTAGTAAGACACGGACGATAATGCACACCTATCTGCATCCACCGTGTTCCTATCAGGCGTTATCGCCGGCCGTTTTATCGCTGAGAAACCCGATAAAATGGCGCGCCATTCGCCCGTGCCGACTCAGCAGGCACCAGCGGGGTAATAATGATCATTGTTTATGTCACGGGGATTATTAGGGGAAGAGACAAAGAGTGTACGCGGCGCGCAATAAGACGCCGGAGTTACTCCACGTTCAGTCTGTTTGTTGCCCGATGTTCCATACTGCATCAACGACTTTCGCTAGAAAATACAATATTTATACGTCAATTTGTCACCATCCAGGTAGAACGCGAGCGCTCGCGTGGAGTATCATATTTTCTCAGACACGTCTCTCCCTCGCTTCATCCTCCCGTGACATCCGCGATGCTGGTCGATCGTAAATCTTATCGTCGGGGTGAGGGATCGAAGAAACAGGCTGTTTGACACGTGTCACATCCGCTTCGTAACGAAGGCAAACATAAGTCGCCAACGCGCTTACGGAGTATCAATGCGAAAAGTTTGCACTCTATAGCAACGTTTCCTTGTGTTTTTTTCTCTCTTATATCAAGCGTCAAGTATACATACGGTGAGAAAACAGTTTACCTCGATGAACACATCCGGTATGCAATAGGGAAAAGGGTAGTGCTATTCGAAATATAGAAGCTGTCAGTAGAATTAATTTTGGAAAGTGCAACAAAATGCTGTGCAATTAGAGAATATCAGTTTAACCTAGATAATGTTTATAGCTGAACTGGTCGCACTAGTTCGAGAAACGTACATATACATTGAAGCGTACGCACAAGATTCTCACGCTTCAGTGTGCGTAAATTTCTCGAACTAGTGCAGCCAGTTCAGTTATAGAGAACGGAGCAAATATTAAGACGTCTTTTATACATACGTGTTGTTTGGGTATCTTTAGTTCAATTTTGAGATTTGTTTCTGTCTAATTTAAAATAAAATGAAAGCACAAGTAATAAACAGGAAATCTCATTAATTTTATTATAACCAAATTTATATAATAATAATACGAGATAGAACGCGTTGTAGATATTATTAAATATTAAAAACAAATGCAAGAAAAAAATACATCTTTAGGACAGTAGATTAGTATTATTTACTATGCTTATAAAATGGACACAATTTTTTCCAGTTCGTGAAATCTTGAATATTCAAACGTTCGAATTTTCACGCTTGAAAATTCCATTATTCGAATATAACGTGTCGAAGATTCTGAAGTTTCAAAGAGAGCAAGATATAATCTTTAGTCCTAACAGGGAAATTATCTTCTGGTATAATTACGAGGAAATAAATGTTCTTATTGGATACTTATTAGATTCTATATCCTATTTGATTGTAAATGCACGATGCAAATTAGCGCAGCTACAAAGAACAGAACTCCGTTGCTCGGTTTTTCACGGGTGTAAAACCGGCCGCTCATTGCGAAGAGTGGGCGCCGGGCTGATGCGAGAGAGCGCGCGCGCACAGCATGCAGCTTCCTTGCCGCCCCTCCGCGTCCCCCTGGTGACCCCTCGCGTTTCGCACTCCGGATCCCGGTCGCTGCCTACGTGTCCCCCTAGGGCATTCCGTAGCGCGCATGCGCAGCTTCGCGATTATGACGTCATGCACATGACGCCACAACGCCCGATTGGCGGAGCGCGTCGTCGCTTCGTCGTCGTCGCGTAGCTGCGCTACGGGACGGGGGGG